TTCTTATTATTAGAAGACGTGTCACCCACGCATCGATATGCTGTTTTACAAAAAAAGACATATATTAGTGACTTACATAAATTTAAAAAAAAAATTAATCAAATTGAAATATAAGAAAAATATAAGACTTACCCCCCATCGAAATAGCCATTGTCTTCGACCCCTAATAATACGCCCCACCAAGGCCGTTCAAGCAACAAAAAGATATCATCGGTGAGCTTGCATATGTCAGTGAAACACCCCTTGCTCCGCTCATGTAGATAAAAATCAACTGCGGTCTTAGCCCAAAGGGTGTTATCCAAAATTGTGTCCGGTAGTTTGTTCCCTCTCCTCTTCAGATACCGGTATGGTACTGGCCGGTAACTCATACGAGAGCCAACTTGAATCCATCATGTCCGGCACGACAGAGGGTTTCTCAAGAAGCCTACATATGACGCCATGTGAATCGGGCTCTTGAATGGTGGGAGGGACCTCTTCAATGATGACAGTGGCCTCTTGAACGGTGGGAGGGGACTCTCGAGGAATGATATGGGGGGCCTCTTCAACGATAGGAGTGGACTCTTGAGGGATGACAGGCGAGTCGGGCTTCTTCTTGCGGTGTCTTCGCACTATTGGGTGTACGAGACTTAATAGCACGTGCACGCTGTCTGATGCGTGAACTCCGTCGTGCAAGCATAACCCGACGTAAAGCATCCACTCTATCGGGCCGCTAAATAATTAAATACAAAAATCAGTAAATAAACAGACATGATATTTAAACAGTGAAAACAAAGACAAATATGTTTCAAACTTGCATTGTATTCACCCAAGTCATTATTCTATCATAGTTCACAAAATGCATCAGATAACAAAGAAAAATATGTTTCAAACTAATACCCTGAAGTTAGTATTTGTCTTTGTTTTGTCTATTGGTTGAAGTAATGCAATCCATTCAAGTTTCAATTTGCAGAAGAAGAAATAGTTTACTTTCGCAACACGAAACTTAAAATCGCAACGCGAAACCAAAATCGCAACGCGAAATGAAAATCGCAACGACAGAATCGCAATGCGAAATGAAAATCGCAACGAAAGAATCGCAACGCGAAATGAAAATCGCAATGCGATTTTGGTTTCGCGTTGCGATCTTGTCGTTGCGATTTTGGTTTCGCGTTGCGATTCTGTCGTTGCGATTTTCATTTCGCGTTGCGATTTTGGTTTCGCGTTGCGATTTTAAGTTTCGTGTTGCGAAAGTAAACTATTTCTTCTTCTGCAAATTGAAACTTGAATGGATAAATTTACTTTCAACCAAAAGACAAAACAAAGACAAATACTATTTCACAGTGTTAAAGAATACACATTTAGCAGAATTGGCAGCAACCGAACAAATTTACTTTCAACCAAAAGACAAAACAAAGACAAATATATTTCACAGTGTTAAAGAATACACAGTTTAGCAGAATTGGCAGCAACCGAACAAATTTACTTTCAACCAAAGACAAAACAAAGACAAATACTATTTCACAGTGTTAAAGAATACACAGTTTAGCAGAATTGGCAGCAACCGAACAAATTTACTTTCAACCAAAAGACAAAACAAAGACAAATATATTTCACAGTGTTAAGAATATACAGTTTAGCAGAATTGGCAGCAACCGAACAAATTTACTTTCAACCAAAAGACAAAACAAAGACAAATACTATTTCACAGTGTTAAAGAATACACAGTTTAGCAGAATTGGCAGCAACCGAATAAATTTACTAAGCAATCTAAGTGAAATGGCTAATCTAAGTGAAATTACGAGTAAATTTATCATTAAGTTAAATATGGAAAATCTTAAACTTACCTCGTTGCGTAGAGTATGAACCTCATTCTGCAACGATACTATCATCTCACGTAGAGCGGCAACCTCACCACGTAAAGTTGACACCTCCACACGCCATGCACCATCGTTATCGCGTAGAGTACCGATCTCCTCACGCAAGGCATTGACCTCATCACGTAACTCCCTTGACTCATCCCGTTGAGGTGGAGGTGGAGAACAGGGAGATAGGAGTCGTGGCATCTTTGCCGGTCGCCTATCATGAGGTGATGGTGGAGAAGAGGCTCGATGATGTGACGGGATAGGTGATGGCTCTCGTTCTAGAGATGTATAGTCGGGTCGATCGGGTGATGGCTCTAGGTGAGGTGATGGCTCTCGAATTGGAGGAAGTGGATGCTGCTCATCATCCGTGCCATCAAAAAAATTCTGACTAGCTTGCCACCAATCAGTGGCAAGCTCTTCCTCCGTGGGTGTCAGTCTTTGTAATGGAATGTTGGCCTCCTAAAATATAAAAACTCAAACAAAGTTAAACGTCTACTATTAATAACTTGTTTATATATTATATGAAAGTATTTGTGTTAACTTACATTATTTATTGTGGCATATGGTATTAAGTCTTCCCAATCCAACAGAGTTTTCCTCTTCCAGGAAATAGCCCTGGGAATATCATTTGACGTTTTTATTGCATATGTACGCATGCTGGGGAAAGCCTCGAATATCCAAATCTACAAACAATATAATAACAAAATTAGTAATTGTTAAATAATTAATTATAATTTTAGAAACATTATATAGAAATTCTTACCTTAAAGGCCCAAACAAAGCCTGACAAAGTGTATTTGGACCCATCGCCCCGCAAACTTTTGCGGTCATCAAAGGCAGACGACAACTTAGTCCAGGTAGCTTTCCATATATACGAACCCCACGGAAACAGATTCCATGCATTCAGGTCCTCTACCAATATTATTAGCTCCCGATGAATAGGTTGTCTGGCCTCTCTGCCTAAAAGCCGGCATACACAAGTAGTAGAAGGCATACTCGGACAACATCGACGTCTTCCATCCGAGTGAAACCAGCTTTCTTATTAAATAATTTCTTCAGGTCGTCGACATGTAGGTTCGGCTTCTCCATTGACTCATCCGGAAAAACCCGGGATAACCATGATGGGCGGGCGATATGACGAGTGTACCGGCCTACATCATCGTGTCCGAATCGTAGACCAGTGATTAAGCAGAACTCCTTCCGCCCAAAGCAAGTATACGCTGGTGGAAAATGAAACCATATCTCTTCCTCACCACGTTGTATACTGTCGGGTAGATTTGATGTCATGGTCTGAAGCCACAAATGGGTCAAATTAGCATCTCCACCCGGATGCTGTACTCTCAGCCATGGCCCGAAGCAGGTTTCCTCAAACAATTGTCTTTGAGCAGGTGAAAGCTTCTTTGCAATTGTAGTGGCCAGGCTGACTTTATTTCTCAAGGTCAATTGAGCCGAAAAAAATTTCTACAAAAACAATAAACATACCAAGTTAGATATACCAAAAACTACACTGTGAAGATATACCAAAAACAATAAACATAAAAAGTAGTAGTTTATTCTTGAAACTAAAATTTGCAACACTGTTTTGTCTTTTGGTTGAAATGAAAATCGCAACGAGAGAATCGCAACGCGAGATGACAATCGCAACGAGAGAATCGCAACGCGAAATGAAAATCGCAACGACAGAATCGTAACGCGAAATGAAATCGCAATGCGATTTTGGTTTCGCGTTGCGATTCTCTCGTTGCGATTTTCATTTCGCGTTGCGATTCTCTCGTTGCGACAGTCATTCTCTCGTTGCGATTTTCATTTATCTCGTTGCGACTCTTCTGCAAATTGAAACTTGAATGGATTGCATTACTTCAACCAAAAGACAGAACAAAGACAAAGACAAATACTAACTTGAAAATCGCAACGAGAGAATAGCAACGCGAAATGAAAATCGCAACGACAGAATCGTAACGCGAAATGAAATCTAAGTGAAATGGTTAATCTATTATTGAAATGACCAGTAAACTTATCATCAGTTTCAATATGAAAAACCTACAATAATGCAAACATTTCAAATAAAAATAATTAAAAAAACTAACCCTCGGAGGTTGATTTTCCATTTCTGAATATTGTGAGGGATTTCTGACCGTGAATGGTTGTGAGGGATTTCGCCGGAGATGGGGACGGAAATCTTCGGAGATGGGGACGGATTTCTTCGCCGTAGAGAGTGAGAGATGGAGATGGGACTGAGTTGTGATTTTAGGTTTTAGGTTATGAGTTGCGATTACGGGATTTTGTCTTAATATTCTTTTTGTAATTTGAAAATAAAATACGCGTAGCGATTATAATGGCGCTTTAAATATCGCGTTGCGATTTACGGATACGCGTTGCGATTTTATGTATTATCGTTGCGATTTACGGATACGCGTTGCGATATACGGATACGCATTGCGATTTACCCATACGCGTTGCGATTTACGGATACACGTTGCGATTTACGGATACGCGTTGCGATTTATGTGTTCGCGTTGCGATTTTCATATTCGCGTTGCGATTATGGAAAATCGCAATGCGAATTTGTACTATCGCATCGCGATTTTCAAGAATCGCGTTGCGATTTTGGAAACTGATTTGCGATTCTGGAAACTGATTTGCGATTCTGGGGATCGCGTTGCGATTTTTATTTCGCGTTGCGATTTTGTTGGTCATTTTGGCAAATCCAAAAAAAAGTTGGTTAAAATCGTATATTATAACTTTTTTTTGGTCACTGAGGCGATTTTCTCTATTTTATATGCTACTTAAAGAAAATAATAAAATCATATTATTAAGAATTCTTTAAACTTTATAATTTGAAGTCTAAAATTTATTTTATAACCAATTTATTTCATACTTCCATAAATATTTAAAATGTAATAATATAAAAGGAAAAGAAAAACTGAATAAACCGGCTTATAAATAAGTTGATAAACAAGTCAATAAATGAGTTTGTTTATGAGCATAAACGAACTTAACATACATTTATTCATATTCATTCGTTTATTAAATGAACATAAAATTTTGTTCATACTCACTTCATAAAGTTTAATTTACGCTTAAAACTTTAATAGATCATTCATCAATGAAGTTTCAAATTCTCCAATTATAATTATGCTCCCATTATGGCACATTGAATGAAGTCCAAGTCCAAGAGAATAGCTCTTTTAAGCAGATAACATACTGCAATTTACAACGAGATACAAACCATTCAAATAATAGAGAAAAAAGGTTAGCCCTGTGCTCTCCGACCCAGCATCTAGGACAATAAAACTGTGTTAAAGTGAAGGGAATTCAAGAGAGTTGAGAGAAATTCTCTGCCTCATAATGTCTCACTTTTCTTTGACAAGATGTTGGTGACTAACCCTTTCTACCCATTTCCTCATTATTCTTTTAGTCTATACCGTTATTCATATGTTTTAGCATGGATTTATACTATCTCACAGTTTAAAGTTGTCTTGCTCATCCATGTTTTCTGCAGTTTTTCCTTCCAGCTTGATGTTCTTGTACCACCGGGCGCATGCTATATAGACGATCAAGTCGATTGTTGTTAGACCGGCTAAGAGGAAGTAAAACCTATCTAAGTGACCCTTGTTGAGGTTGCCCGGTATCCATCCTGGCATGTGATCTTCGGTCGAGATCTTCATAACCATTGTTACTAGCAAGCTGCTAACGTAATTCCCTAGTGATATAGATGTCATGCAAAGTGCACTGCCGAAGCTTTTCAATCCGTCCGGTGTCTGAGCGTTGAAGAACTCGAGCTGACCGACATACATGAAAACTTCAGATGCTCCTATAAATGCATACTGGGGAACTTGCCAAAAGATGCTCAGGGAGCTTGAGCCTTCACAATGCATGCAATCTTTGTTGGCATACTTTAGTCTATAGCATTCCACAATCCCGGCTAAAACCATTGCTAATACGGCTATAACAAGGCCGATGCCCATCCTCTGAAGTTCAGTAAGTCCCCTGGCACCTTTTTTCCGAAGACTTGCCACCAGTGGATCGAGAACTTGTCGGTAAAGAAATATGAAAAGTGCTACACTGAGAATATCAAAGCTAGACATGCTTGCTGGTGGAATCCGGAAATTCGAGACGGTGGTTTTCATCGCAGCGCCTTGCTCGACGAATAGGGAGGCCATTTGTGTGAAGACGACCGAGTAAATTATGGTGCAAAGCCAAATGGGTAGAAGTCTTACTATGCATTTAACTTCTTCCACTTGTGTAACAGGGCAGAGACGCCATGTGCTCTGAGTGCCCTTCTTCTGCTCATCAACATCCCTCGTACCTATGTATGCTGCTCTGTCCAAGAACCTATAAAACAACACAATCAATAATTAGCATTATTGTAATTTTTTAGTTTTGAAGACCAGATTAGGTTTCGATATTTACTTGAATTCATCAGTGTGTAGTATCTTTCTGTTTTCATTCATGGACGAATCATTCCCATCGACATCATACAATTCGTCGGCATCTGATGGCATGTCGACGCTACATTTTCTTATTGCAGCCACTAGGACTTGCGAGAACCTGGAGAGTGGATTTCCACTTGGTTTGAAGTGCCTGTAACTAGTGGTTCCTGCCAGAAACAAGACAAGTGCTGCCAAGGCAGAACCAGCAGACACCCAGAATCCAAGCGCCCACATCCCTTCATCCTCGAAGTACCCCAAAATGGTGTTGGAGAAAAGGGATCCCAAGTTCAAAGCTAGGTAAAAGTAGCTAAAAAAGGCAACCTTGGAGTGCCCTTCCTTAGGGTCATCTTCATCAAACTGATCAGCCCCGAATGTAGCAATGTTAGGTTGATACCCTCCATTCCCTAGTGCAACCAAGTAAATGGAGAGGTAAAACAGCGTAATCTCTGAGCCGGAATGTGAACCACACGGCGTTTCTTGATTCCCGCAGCCTTTCGGTCGAATCAAGAAAAGGTACGACGACAGTGACAGCGACACCAAACCCTGAATCAGACATGTTTTCGAGCTATTAGAAGAGCTGCTGAGAAGTTGGAAATTTGAAGCAAACATCCAAGTTACATTGATAGATAAAGAATTGCTTACAATAACAAAGATGACTTGAAAGATGGCACATGTTTTGTACCTTCCCCAGTAGGAATCACTGAGGAAAGCACCAACCAGGGAAAAGATATAGACAGTGCCGGTCCATTTGCTGACATTGTTAGCAGCATCAACGTTGTTTTGTCCTAACACTCTTGTCAGGAAAAGCACCAAGTTCACCCCGACCCCAAAGAACGCTAGGGTTGCCAGACCTTGGTTCACTGTTTAATTCATTCACAAAAAGACAAACATTAAGGAGACGTTCAAGAAATAAAAAGACATTAATTTCATGGTAGAGCTTTCCCTCATGGTCAAGGATACCTAAAACCTAAGGTTGCTTTCCAAAACCTCTATTATCTTAGCATTCAATTATTGTTAACAATATCAACGTAAGATTTTATATTATGAGTAGACTTTTAAAATTTTAAAGAAATATGAATTTATAAAATTGTAGAAGGTGAAAATAAATTATCAATAAAAAAATATCTAAAATATATAATAATTTAAAATTTTAAGAGAAAACCATTAAACAACCAACTACCCCGTGAACAATCAATCATCCAACTAAATTCTGCATGTGAAGTAAAGACTCCCATATTCTCCTCCCAGAAAAAGGGTTTGATTACAAGGTTGTTGGATAAGATTTTTCGATGTTCATGTGCATTAATATCACAAATTTAGCAACTTGAAAAGTACATTAAGGACACATATAGCTATACAAATTAGAGCCAAAACGAAATATCCATTAACCTCCATGGAATTAGGAAAACAAAGCAACAGCAAGAAACATGTCCATGTTCATCATAAATTATTTATGCCTCTTTTCTTTATTAAGTATATAAATTACAAAAGTCATAAAAACGTGGGCATGCATTTTACGATAAAGAAAATACTGGCTTTTGTTAGCGCTACTTAAAGATATACCAATATTTTGTTTTTAAACTTTGGCGATTGAATAAAGTCCAAACATTATTTATTAATCACAGGCAGCTGAGAATTTCATTATGCAGTCAGGTGGGGGATTCTGTAAGTTTGAAATTTGACAGGGGACTCGTGGAAAGGACCCACGTCATGCATAACTCACGAGGTTGGAACGAGGATTACGTGTCACACTCGTCTTCCCCTAAATTGCATGCTGTCTCTCAATTTTATGCCTTTTATTATCCCAAAAAAGAAAAAGCCTTCGCTTTTCTTGTCATTGGTAATTCCTTCAGTTCATTAATTCGAACAAATTAAAAGAGAAAAATAAAACTGGCAGCCAAACTGCCATTAAAAAGAAACAAAAAACCAACCAGTTTGAGCTAGCCAGCTCTCCATACATGCAAGAGAATGGAACAGAAGTTCAACACTTGGACTGTGTTGTGTTGGCGTTCCCAAATCATACACGTTTCTTTAGTTTATAATTATTACGAACAAAAAATTATCTTTTTTGTTTTTTAATTTTCTTTTCTATTTCTGATAGCTAATGAACGTAAATAGTTCATATATTTGTTACTAATTAAGCTAATAAATTTTATTAATTTTGTTGCAACTTAATATGTTCTGTTTCATCAGTGAAACTAAAAGGGAGAGGAAAATTAATTGAGTGATTTTAATAGTTAAATGGTGTTGTTAAAGTTTTGAGTTTGAATAACTGTATCGGTAAGATATATATATATATATGTTGTTGATGATAAAAAAAAAATATTATAAATAGGTAATATCTTGTAATTACTCTAGATTATTTAAAAAAAAGAAAGCTTACAGAGAATGATAATTCCGGCTGTCCATTGTCCAGATTTAGCTTTGATAGCAGGGCGGCCATGCCAATCAACAGTTCCATCTTGAGTGCATTCTGCTTCTTGTTCCTCTTTCAACTTCCCCTGTTTTTTCATGTTCATTTTATAATTTGAAACCATCAAAAAAAGGAACAAAACATAGGGAAACGGAAATTTTGTTTTTGTTTTTTGTAACATTGCATGAATGGATTCATTACTACATGTCTATGATAAGTTGATGTATATTTACAAGGCAATGGAATAGTTGAGTTATGTACAAAATAAGAAGAAAAACAGGATCCATTAGACCCCATACTGACCTCCTTACACGCCTCTAAGGAAGCCATTGATGTTTCTCAACAAAAAGGAAAGAGGCGAATTTTGTTTAGAAGAAGAGAGAGCAGCGCAAGGGAGTTTATTTGGAGAAGAAAGGAGGAGAGGAAGCTGTATAAATAGAGGGTGGGGAAGCTAATTCCAACGGTGGAGATTGAATGATAATAAAAGAGGGAAGGCCACATGAGCCGATCATTTATATATTATAAGTGGCAAATTGTTTGGACTAACAGTGATGGAATAAGGGAGGGTGTGTTTTAACATATGGTTCCGTGATTAAATGAAATAATTTTTTCTTTAAAATTTAAATGATTGCATTTATAGAGTATATATATATTATTAATAAATAAGAAAAACTGTGAATATATTCTACTTACAATCATCTCATAATAATAAAGAATATTAGTAAAGAAGTTGTTATTATTAGTTTTGGTGCTCTAATAGTTGGGAATTGGGATGGATGAACAAAATGGGGTTCTTTGGGGTCACTTTCCAATATCCATTATGCGTTTTTTGTTGGGGGTTTTGATTTGATATCGACACATTTGGGACAGTTATCTTAATGGTTTTCCAACAATTAGGTGCACATAATTTAAAACTCCGTCACTACCTTTCAACTCCAGATTTAGTAAAACAAAACTAGGTTTCTCTTCCATATATAATTTTATTCAGTAATTCAGTTTTATATAGTTATAATAGGTTATTATATTTGTAATTTATCACATGTTCATAATTATTCTTCTATAAAAAATATACCAAATTTGTATGGATTTGATAATAATCATAATTCATATTTAATCTCAAGTTCTCGACGTTTACAGGTTTCGCTATTATCTTGAAGCAGAACTCATGGGGATAAATCACATGAAGCCGTATGTTAAGGTGGAAATTCTAAGTATTTTTGGTTGATTTTTTTTTATAGAAGTGGTATCAAGCAAATTTAGGTTTAAAATCTAAATATCAGTAATTTAGATTTAAAATCTAAACAATCACATATGAAGAGGAATAATTTTTCTTATCCATTCAACAATAAATACTCTACATATGTAATTGTTTAAACTTAAATTCTTTTAAAAAAATAATAATTATAATAATAATCTCCGGTGCACCTCGGAAAAAGAAAGTGGTTGGTTCTATACATAGTAACCTTATGTTTTTGTGATTTTGTTTTGGAATGAATGAATGAATCAATAATCACTTGCTTTTTGATGCGTCTCAAACACTCATTTCCACAAAATTATTATCACAAATATGGTTCTCTATCAACACGTAGTCAAAAGAAGTACCGGTGAACTCTTTTTTAAGATATTATTATTAAAACCAAATTATCTGAATATCATTTTATTTTAAATAAAACTATTCTCACATGATAATACAAGTGAACACATTTGCAAAAAATAAAATAAGCTCATTCTAAAATGAACGCATTAAAATCTGATTTCACAACCCAAAGTTTCTCTATCGTATAATAGGTATAAATAGTGGTAGATTTAAGAATTTAAAAATAAATGTTAAAATTATAATCATCTTTTTTCTTAAAAAAGAATATATAGTATTTATTTTTTTCAATACATTAAATTAAATTAAATATATTTTTCAAAGACAATGGGTACACAATTGTTGATGCATATACCCTGGGCATAAGGGGATGCAAAATTCATGATACCATACAGAAATAATATGTTGGTTGAATTATTTGGTAATAATATGACTTCTTTTAAGACTTTTACAACCTCAAGTTGCTAATCAAAACATTCTCTTGATGACATATTTAATATGCTTTCTGTCTTGTCCTAATTTTATTCTTTCTATTGCACAATTGCAACTTCTTTATCCCCCAAATATTCCACTGGGATCAATCCATGAATAATAGAAATCGGAAATATTAGCCACCACGATATGTTAGTTTAGATACTGAAAGATGGCTTTCATTGATTAAGTGTGCTGCTAGGTTTAAAGATTTTATTCTACATTGGTAATTGTAGATTTGGTTACCCACATGCACGTTCGTTGTAACTAGAGGAAACAAAATTATGGGGAATATGCCCTTTGTCGTTTAAGATTCTACCCTAAGTACGCCATATAATATTAAAGAAAAGGACACAGACCAAATAATTTCAGTGATTAAAAGGATAGTTGTTATTCCTAGAGGTCTCAAGTTCAAGCACCAACGACTATGAGTATTTGGACATTTATTGTCAAATGATTAAAAATCTTTAAAACATATACTACCACTTATAATCACATTAGATTAATAAAAAATATATTAAAAAAGGGCTTAATGGTTCTAAGGTCTTTATACTTTTCAAGAAACACTAATGAAGCCAGGATGTTTATTTTGCACTCAATACATCCTTAAATTACGGAGAAATAATATATTTTTTTATCAATGAAAATTATTGTTGATCGTTATAATATCAACATGAGAATCCACAGTAATAACATGATAGTTCATGGTTATGCTATAGTAGTCCACGATGGATAATGACTTAGTAAAGGTACTTAATTAATTCTTTTAAAAAGCTTGAAGGCTTAATTGATTTTTTTTAAAAGTTGAGGGATATATTTTTTTTCATCCATTTATTATTTAGTTTCTATTTTCATCCAATTATAATTTTTTTAAAATAATACATAATGTTACGTTTTGGTTCTGATTTAGTCACTCACTATTAATATTTTAACAGTGATATTAAAGTGATAATTTTAATTATTTTTATTACAAACATGACATTACTTTATAGTGACACGTTAATATTATCGTTAATTTTTTTCCGACGGATGATTAAAATAGAATCAAAATATAATGTTAATATGTTTTTTTAAAAGATGACAGTTGAGTGATTAAAATAAAAATAAATAATGAGTAGGTCATAAAAAATAAGTTGATTTATGGGGATGGTAGTATAACAGATATTGCAAAGGAAGTAATGGTATCCAATACTACCTTTCACCGAAGAAGAATAATTACTCTGTAATAGCAACAACCCTTGAGGTTTTCCTTTGGATTTTGATTCATCATAAGGCTTAATTCCTTTGCTCACGTGGAAACAAATTAACAATAAAATGTTTAACACCACTCAACCTAAAATATCTCACCACATTAATAACAAAAGTTCCATTTTCGAGCCATATGGATTCTAATGTCTTGCTCCAATGGATCGACCAAATACATTATTAATTGTCAAAGTTTACAGCTAACATTATTATTTTGATGTCCTATTCCACCATGTTTTCTTAATTAATATAAACCGATCCTAATCCCTTCTTTAATCACTTAATTCTTGTTCACCAAAAACCCATACATATGCTCTTCATATTTTTGGAAAAAGAAAAAAACAACTTATTTCCATGGAAAGCAACTGTTAGCCTATGACCTAACATATCTTACATCCCCTAAATCCATAGAGCAATATGCATAAACAGACAAATTGTTGCAATGACATCATTAAAAGGAAAAATTAATTTGTGGGACTCCATTACCATTACTGTAATATGTATATATGGAGAGGTAAACGACAAGGAGTGTGTCACTGTCGAAGCCATGGTAGTGCCGAATACTATTTCTCCTTGTTAAGTACTAAACAGAAAAACCTTTGTGATTGGCTCACAAATTTCCAGCACAAAATCTACCAACACAACAGGCAAGGAGCACATAGGTCAAGTTTGTAGCTTTAGGTGCTACCTTTTTCGATATTAATTATCACTGAATCTCACCCCATTCATTTTATTTTTAAGATAAAAGTACATAAATAGTTTTCAACTATATAATATTATTTTGTTGACTCCTCAAATTATTAAAAGTTATAAAAAAAATTCCGACCATAAGACGTTGTTATATTGAGTCTTTTAGCTATTAAAAGTTATAAAATGATCACTAGAAAAATTGATGATCGTCAGAGTTGGACATTAACCTGCTGATTGAGATATGGTAAAACTATATTTTAATGATGTCTCTTGCCACCGCCATTGCTTTCAAGCATTGGCTACAATACATATGTTTCAAACACTGGTTCGAAACAGATAGTCATTCCATAATATACAACTCAAACGGGTATGATATTATATTTTATCATATCTTAGTCGACAAGTTAACGCTTAGTTCAGACAATCGTCAAATTTTTAACGGAAAATGACGAGTTTGAAACATATGAATGATCGGGTAACCATTTTGTAACTTTTAATAGTCGGAGGACTCAACACAATAAAGTCCTGTAATCGAGAGATCATTTTGTAACTTTTAACAATCAGAAGATTCAACAAATTAACACCATAATCTAGAGACTATTTATGTAATTTATTCGTCATTTTACAACACAATAATATATTTTTATATGTATACACCAATGGCCATATCTGATGTTGAAATGCAATTCCTCTTATTCTGTTGTCGGATTCACCGACTTATCAATGACGAAACCTAAAATATTACAGTGGTTTCGCCAACTTTTATTAAGTTATAAATAAGACAGCTTCCAAGAGTCAGATTCCACTTATTTTATTTTTTAAAAAAAACCATCAACATCGTTACCAGATTAATAGATGATCTATCATCAGCTGTTATTGAGGGAGATAGTGACCTGATTTAATTCATGTTTCTCAGCATTTTTCTAACACACGGTTGGTTTGCAGCTGTGTGGTGCCCCATGAATGACGCCATGTTTCTTCGAAGCAACTCTTTATTTTTTTTTAATTTTTTATTAATCATAAACTTATTGATCGATTATTTCAGATTGAGTTTTATAAAGATCTAATATAGGAACATTCCTCCCTTTCTAGTTTACTCCATTCATAAATATTAGTATTTGAATTCCTTACCAAATGATTGTTGGTAAGCAAACTCTTTGTTCTTGTTTGATGATATCCATGGATTTCACCTGTTTTTTCACCATGAGAAAGAGTCATTCGCTTATGCAAATCCAGAAAATCCCTTATCAACAAAAGATCTGTACCTAAAACTCATTTGATGATTTTGATTTGTATTGTGAGATTATATATAATGATGGGATTATAAAGAAAAAGATTATTTAGATTAAGACCTTACTGATCTGATGATTCAGCGATTAATCATGTATTCTCATGTTGGCAAGATAGCTAGTCG